AATTCTTGCTCATGCCCAAATAATTTTATACTAATCACATTTCCTTTCTTTCATTTTCATGTGAGCACAATTGGATGGTGGCAAAGCAGGGGAAGCAAGAGACTCTGTGGCAAGCATGGAAGCAAAGGAACTTCAGTCAACCTTAGGCATAGATCCATTGGGATTTTCTTTGTAATTTAGAGAGAAACATTCTTGTATTGTAATCAACAATTGTACTAATTTATTTTTTAAATACCATAAGTTGTAAAACATAGAGTATTTAAAAGAACAAATTATTTTGTAACAATGTTTGAAAAAAAATGGAGAAAGTCTTATGAGATATTCTGGTGTCCATTGAAACCCTTTACTGTCAATAATTTGTAATTTCCTATTCGCATCTTAACTGATTCTTAAAGATTTCCAATCAAGATAATTGAAACAAAATGCTCCAATCTGATAATTTAAATTCCAATAATTCTGTAATCTTGCAACTGCATTCCAAACAAACACGCACTGTCTATTCCATTTCCTAAAAAAGTAAATGTTTTAGAAGACGCAAATCATCTGGTTAACCTGGATTAAATAATCATGAGTATCTTACATGACAATCTTAAATTCCATCTCTTGTCCCAAACAACCATACCTTGAGAACAAACATTGTCTTTTCAGTAAATTTGAGAAAGCATGAAAACATGTGAAAACTAATTGAATTTCTGAGAACTCAATTTCTTCTGAGAATTGCAAGAAAAACCCTAATTGTTGGTTTACTGCCAAAGGAGAAAATTTATCTGATCGATTCCTGAGCCAACTTGAATATCTGAGAAACCCTAGGGTTGTGTTTTCAATGAAAAATGGGAGGGAAAATTTTGGGGTACAACAGAATGAAAAAGCTAACATGTCTTGTCAAGGATCAGGAGACATGCTCTTACAAGTGTCGTTTGCTCATTTAATGCAAAGACAGCTACATGCACTCAAGTGTCTATGCTAGTTCATTGGAAAATGGAATAGTGCAAGGAAACACGCAAACATTTAATGCTCTCCATTTGAAGGCAACAATGGTCATGTTTCTTCATGCTATATATAGAAAAACATTAATTGCAAGTCAACTACCGAAACACTGAAAGACTGAACAACTGAAGTTCTGAATAGAACTCATCAATTTCAAAAGAAGCAAGAACTATGCAAAAATATTCTGGGCTCACAAATAATTTTCATACACTTTGTGCAATACTATTCTTAGTGAAAAATCACAGTTGTGATATAGCTTTCTTAGAAGCAAACTTTGTTTCACTATCTGTAAAGATTTAACTATTGTAATTGTTCCTTGAGAGACCAAGTTTGGTCAGATTTCTCAAGTAGACTAGGACTAGTTTAAGTCTTGGTGGTGTGAGTCACTTGTAAGATTACTTGTTCATTGTTAGTCACAACAATTATTGTGTGTTTGTAATCAGTTTATTATAGTGAATTAAGTCCTTGTTGAGAAAGGCGAAATCACCTTGGCGGGTGGACTGGAGTAGTTTGAGTTCAAACGAACCAGGATAAAAATAACCTTGTCTTTCCATTATTGTTGAGCCTTTAAGAAAAATAAAAAGAGAAACTTATTCAACCCCCCCCCCCCCCCCCCCCTCCTTCTAAGTGTTTTCTCACCCTTCAGTTTAGTGTGTAAATATCGTACAACCCGCTTAGCACGGTGAGCCTTCTAAGCACGATCTACTGAAATTTGTTTTATAACTTCATTTTCATTACATTTTGTGTTATGGTTTTTGGGGTGTTTTTGTTCCCAAATTCCATCAATCTTATTTTTGATTGATTAGCTTAGAAAACAACACTAGGGTTTTTCTTATGGATGATTGGAGGTGGATTTCTCATCGACAGACACTAACAAATCGAAAGATTTATGGTTTATCTCTTCTCCTATCTTCGTATTTCTCTTTTGTTTGGTTTGTATGTATTTTTACTTTGAACTCATGTATATTTGTCGTCCATGGCGTTTTATAAAACTTTCTTTACAAATATTTGTCGATTGTTATCCTTGATTTTTGCTCTGTACTAGGGATTTGAGTTGCTATAGACATATACTGCTTGGATTCTTATCTAAGATGATTATCTGTTAGTTTCTGGATTTTAGAGATAGATTTAGAGCTGACATTCACTTAGGGTGTCTGTGATTAATGTCTTTGTGGTTGTTGTGTCGCTCTGAGAGATCGCTGACGCGATTAACACAGTTGACTTCTGTGTTGTTGAGGTTGGTTGAGAAATCGTCGCCGAGGTGATATAGTAGATGTTGTGTTTGACATGTGATGACATTGATGAATATTATAGGTTGAGTATAACTGGTGGATAGGTTTAAGTTTGTGATAAGTAGAGTACATTTGAGCTTGATAAGTTTACCTTTCCTTTTTATACATTTATTTTCTGTTGATACCTTTTGCCTTTCCTTTCAACCCATTTAAACCCCAAACATATTAACAAGAGATTTGTCGAATGACATTTTAATACACCAATCTCTGTGGACACGATATGATATATCCTAAATATCACCCAGTAAAAATAATACTTTACTTTTTTTCTTGCTGCTTTCTGCTCCAGCAACAAGCCGTCGATGATGGTGAGGGAAACCGCAGTGGAACAATTGGAGACAAAGCGAAGCCGATGGTGATCCTCGACATTCTCTGGAACTTGTCGTTCATTATTGTGGATGCTATTGTGTTGATTTTGAGTCGGAGTGAATCTCCCTGTACGCCTTTTAGTTTGTGGATTTTAGGGTATGCGCTACAGTGTATTCTTCTTACCGTGTATCAGAGAAGGATAAGGATGCGGGAACAGGCGAATACAAACAGTGGTAATGCGGTTGGGATTTGAGCTTTGGTTCAATGGATGGTTCTGCCAACATCTAACTTCTGGTTGTATTTTATTTAGAATTGGAATTAAAATATTAACTTAATAAATTTATACCCACTTAATTAGATAATTAAGACTTAATAAAATAGATTGTAAATGTGTTCAGATTAATATTTTGAGTTATAAAATTAAATAATTTTTTTAATCCATTTAAATTTACACCTATTTTAAATTTAATTGGAGTAATTGAGATCAGTATAATAATAATTTTAATTTACACGCATTTTTAAAAAACAAGTGTAAATTATCACATGCTAATACTTAAAATAACATTTTATTTATAAAATTGTCACTGTATTTCTTATTTACACCCGTTTTTAGTGTATCAGGTGTAAACTCTATAATTATATTGTTCTTTTTGCACTAGTGATCATTCATCACCCCCTTCTTCCATATTCATCATTCAACACCACCATCTTCATACACATATTGTTACAACAACCCAACAACAATACACCACAAGTAAGATAACAAAAAAAGAAGAAAGAAAAAACTCGGCAGTTTTAGAACTTGGAATCACTTGATTAATGAAAATTGAGGGTTTGAATATGAATAGTGAGTGAAAGATGGAGAGAATATAATTGAGGGTGAGAATGTAAATTTTTATTAGCTATAGATGATGATACCTCCAAGATATTTATACATCAATTAGGATTGAGACACAAACAACAAATAAAATAACTCAAAAAAATGCTAAATACAATAAGCAAGTATAGTAATAAAAAATGGTAGCTAACATTATTCAATGCACCAAGTTGCAAAAGGAAGGAAAATTCTAGAGGCACATTTGCCATTTCACTACAATCAAAGACATTGTTTCCTTTGTAAAGCAAACAGTTAAGGCTCTGACACCCTAAAACGACATCCCATCATAGTCGATGTAAGCCGACGATCCAATCCAAACTCTAAAGTGAATAAATAATTTTTAGAGTAAAAGAGCAAGCCCCAAAGTTACAACAGTTCGTAAACAACAATAATGACAAAGCAATGGCAAGTGAAAAACTCTAAAGCAAATGAAACATGAATCATCAAGGTATAATATTTCCATTAAACATCAAATATCATTACACCCAAGACACAAAATCTTGGGAAACATTGAAGGAAAAAATAAAAAGTAAAAGAAATTTAACTAGGACTTCCTTGCCTACTCCACAACTCGCTCACAGACTCTGAGCACGTCTCGCATAGTTTACTGAAGAGAGTCATGGAACGTCTGCCTCAGACCAGCCACCTTATCCTAGAGAGTTTTTAAGACCTCTGCATGAGTCTCAGTATCCTGAAGACTGGCTTTTTGGTGCTTCTCTATCTGATGAGTCTTCTCCTCAATAAAATCAAAGAAAACCTTATACTACTTATCTACATCCTCGAGGGAATTCTCCAAGATATGCAAGCTACACAAAACAGAAAGAGAACCATGTGTCTTCGCAGCTTCTTCCAAAGAATTAATAGTTTTGACTTTCTCCAACAGCACAACAAACTCCTTTTGAAAAATAGTGTACATCATCTCCATAACTTCGGCTTTTTCTTTACAAGTATCCCTTAACCAACAAAATTATAAATATTATAAATAAAAGTAATATATTTACATCAAGTAACTACTTTTTTTTTTGGGTACTTAAACTTATATTTGTATACTAATACTTAATATAATCTTATTAATAAACATAGAACATACATGTTTTCATATCTAAAATAAAAATAAATAAAGTATTATGTAACAATTTTTTTTCAATATATCCAACATCGCCTCATTCTTTATTTAAAATCTGAAATCAAAATTTGTTAAATATATCTAACATAATGATATCACGTCTTTTTATATTTAAAAAAATATTTAAATTGATTTCAGTAAATTTTTTAGAATTAGTTAGAATTATTTGTTTTAATGTCTATTAACAAATGATTCAAAACTCCTCTAAAAATTATTATACAAGAGTAAAAGTTAAAAATAAAATTTAAAACATCATATCCAAACTCAATAAGATCGAAAATATTGATACAAAAATTTATTAAAACATAAACAGAGAATAAAAAATAAAATATTGAGTTGAACTAGTGCAACAACTTGTACCATAAACAGAAAGGAGCTTATCAACCCTAGAAACTGATGGTTTACTAACCTATCCAATTCTAATTCCATGACTCTCATTCAACTCATCAAATTCTCCATTTTCAATTTTTTTATATATTCTTGCAGTTGTTTTTATGAACGCGTGTTCAACACTTTGTGCGCTTTTCGCCGAAACCTCCATGAATATCAGACCATTCTCCTTCGCAAACTTGTCGCCTTCTTCCGAACTTACAACGCGCTTCTTAGTGAGATCGCACTTGTTTCCGATTAATATAAAGATCATATTTGAATTTGCATGTTGTCTCAGATCTTCAAACCAGTTAGCTAGGTGATCAAATGTTTGTCTCCTTGTTATATCATAAACAAGTAATGCAGCTGCTGCTCCTCCGTAATACGATCTTGTTATTGATCTGAACATTTCTTGACCTGCTGTGTCCCATATTTGTAACTTGATTGGTCTGTTATTAATGTTGATAGTTCTCACACCGAATTCGACACCAATTGATACGTCGTGGACGGGTTGAAAGCGGTTGTCAGTGAATTGAAGTTGAAGGCATGATTTTCCGACTCCGGTGTCTCCAATTATTATGTAGTTGAAAAGGTATGCATAAGACATTTTTTGTGTTAGGTTTTAGCAAACTGGGAATTAGGAGATAGAAGAATAAAGAGATATAAAAAGTGAGAGCGATGCAGTATGTATTTATAGGGATGCAAATCTTAGAGAAACAAATTAATAACAACCTAAGCTAATCTTATTCTAAATACTCGGAAGATAAGTCACCATAATCGGAACTAACTTATAATTCAAATTACTATTTTGAAATAAGATAAGTTGTGAGATATAGAAATTTTTGGAATAACTAAAAGATTGATATTATTTGTATTTTAAAACGGATAGAATTTAATTAAAAAATTGATTAAAATTTTTAATGACAAATATTTATATATAAATTTAAAGAGTTGAATAATTTTATTCAAGATTATTTAGATTATACGGCAGAATTCTCTTCTAATTTTACTAAAGATTTTGAATACGAATTTAACTTAGATAGTGTTAAATATGTGCGCACAAAACATTACTCGGTTTAGAGAAAAAATATGAATAATCTTAAAAATAAAAAAAATAGCCGTCAAATACAAAAAGTGCATGAAGGGAAAAAAAGAAGAAGAGAATGACCAAAAAAAAAAAGAGAGGAAACTAAAAAAACTACCAACTATGACTTCGAATTATGCCAGTATGGTTGTTTTATAATTTCGCCCTCCATTTGGCTAAATGATAAAAAAAACCTTTACAAAGTTTTTCGGATATCTCAAGATTTGGGATACCAGATACTATATCTTGAGTGATCGAAAATTCAACTGTCTAAATCTCAAATGTCACAATCAACTATCCTTGTGGTCGACAACAGTTTTTAAACATTGTACTTTTGTTGAACTGATAAGGAGATTTTAAGACTAAATTATTTTGAGTGTCGAACAATTTCAAAATTTCATCTTTCATGACAACTGAGAAACTTTTTTTGACTAGTTGTCCCACACTTAGCAAGTTGAACTTCATTCCAAGTACACATAGCACATCTTTGATCATAGCTTTCCCTCCATTACTCATTTGAAAAACTATGTTGTCAGTACATTCTCCTTGCAACAAACTATTATCAAAAAAATTTACCTTGCTCTTCTTCGACTCGTCAAAATCTGTCAACCACTCCTTTCAACCAAACACGTGGTTCGAGCAGCCTAAGTCGAGAAACCAGATCTTGAATTTGACTTGGTTATCTGCAACTGCAGCCATAACCACTATACCACCTTTAGAATTATCTGAATATTGGCGTGCAAGGTTCTATCCTTCGTCCTTATGGTAATCCGAAATAAATGTGATCTTACTAAGATGCGGGTTGTAAGTAGTGAAGGAGGCAAAAAGTTTGCGAAGGAGAATGGTTTGATCTTCATGAAGGTTTCGGCCAAAAGTGCAGAAAATGTTGAAGAGAAGTTCATAAAAATTGCTGGAAGAATATATAAAAAGATTGAAGATGAAGAAATTGATGTGTTGAATGAAAAACATGGCATCAAAATTGGATACACTAGTAAATCAGTAAGTAGAGATCATCAGAGCCTTTCTGTTTTTGGTGGAAATTGCTGCACTTGAATTCAACATGTTCATTCAATCTGTGTGCTTTAATTCGAAGAACTTCCTTTATAATTTTTTATTTATTAATTATTCAATTTTTGTTTTAATAAATTTTGATCAATATAGTGGTTCTATGTTAATATTTTCATTCAAATGACACTAACGACGTTTGATGTCTAATTGGGATATAACATTGAAAGTGTTAAATTTTTATGATTAAGTTAGAAAAAAATTAATCACTAAAAAATGGTTATAAATTTTAAATGGCATCATCTTTATCATCAAAATTATGAAATTCTTATTTCATGTGTAAATTGAGTTCCATAAGTCTATTTGAAGTGTCGTCAGTTGCGTTAGAAATCTAACATAATACTCTTTCTTTTGAAGTGGGGAAATTAAGTATAAGGGCACTACAACGGAAACAATTCTCTAGTTTTTATATCAGAAGCGTAGTTAATTTCAGTCATATGTGTTGGACCTCTTGTTTCACGCGTAACTTAGGTTTCATGAGTTTGTTTGAGGTGCGCTTAGTTGCTTTAGAAAAGGGTTTATGATCTTTTAAACTGAAGAGTTTTATAATTTTATCATAAATCTATAATATTTAGTGCTATTTTGAAGTCATACCTTTTGTTTTAGAGTTTATGCAGAAATATTGTGATATGACTAAACTCAAACGAATAAAACTAGAGTTAGATTATTTCATTCGAGGTGCAATCAATTGTATTTGAAAGAGGATTTAAAGAGATTTTGAATTGGAGAATTTCATAATTCTATCATAAGTTTAAAATATTTAGTGGTATTTTGAAGTGAGCTAATTCTAGAGTTAAGTCCAGAGTTTTAGCAATTTAAAGAATTAAATATATTAAAAATTACTTTAATTTGAGGTAGTTGATATGTTTTAGAGTTGATTTAAATAAAGAGAGTTTGGTTTGATATATTTTATGGTTGATTTGAATTAAGAGGGTTGAGTGTTGGTGAGTTAAGGTTCAAATGTGATACAAACCAATGTTTAGCCAAAATGGACAGTGACTAATGTGTTAATGAATTGAGTTTGAGATATTTCATATTTTTAGAGTTGAGCCTAAAATATTTAGAGTTGAATTAAAGGTATGCATAGTTAAAAGAATTGGTTTTTGACGAGTTCAGAGTTGAGTTGGTTATAGCTGAGTTAAGAAAAAAGTTCGCCTTGGAAACTCTAATGGGTTATGAGTTGACCCTATTGATTCTATAAAAGTTGTGGAATTATTTGTTTACTCTGTAGATGAGTACTATGATCATGTATGATAATTTTATTACATTATTGATGAATATTTTTTAATATTAACATGTTTACCCAGTTGATAAGTATTGTTAAGCTTAGATGTTAATGTTTTTTCCTATTGGTGAATAATGTTGAATAAATATAAATTATATGTGTGTTGTTGAACGGTAATTACATATGTAATGTTGAGATGAGTAGTTCAGATGAGGAACTACTATGGTGGTCTGATATTTGCAAAGTTGTGGGTTCATATGAGGAACCGTTATTGAGTAGTATATTGATGTTATTCGTTGTATTTCATTCACTCATGTATATAAAAAATGGGTAGAACATCGGTCCAACGAGGTTGTCTCAAATTCATTGAGGGAATCATTGGTTCAGATGAGGAACCAGAGACTGGTCTAAGACTCATTTTTGGAATCGTTGGTTTAGACAGGAGCCAGAGATGTTGGATCAATCAGTAACATAACTCTGAAATTAAAAAATTTGATACCACATGCATTGGAGTAGAAGAGGAGGATTGTATTGCATAATATACTTGCATTTGTGATTTTTTGTTGTTATGAATTAATATATGTGATTGATGAATAATATTATTGAACTTACCTTGTTGTTTTATACACCAATAATCTTTGTGAATTTATTCTCACTCCATATTTGTTTGTTTGTGTTATTCGTTATGACAATGTTGTAGATACTCAAATAGAGGATCATTAGTTATTGTTGTGGTGAGGAATGACGTATATGCCTTCTTCTTTAATTATCACTTTGAGTTATTTTTAATATAATAGTGTGTCACTCTGATAGGTAACACGGAGACGAGTTATCTTTTGTCTTTAGAATTGTTGAATTAATTTCTTTATGGTTGAAACTGAGTTATGTTAATGACGAGATATCTAAGTTGAACATGTTTTTGAGTTTTCACTGTTTTATAGTAAAACTTTTAAAGAATGATGTTTTATGAGAAGAGATGTGAAACCTTCCTCAAAATAAAAAGTATTTTTGCCACCAATTACTAAAACAAGTCCAACAACGCACCCCATTCACCTCTGAGCCCAGTTCAATATCTGAACTTGGGCCCAGTTCTTTCAATACACCCTTATTTTACTTGTTCGTTACATAAATACACCTCTAGATTTATTGGGCCTGAATTCAATGTCTGAATTCAGACCCTGACTTTTCACACCCCTATCTTTTTACTATTCAATTTAAAACGTACCCCCTTGAATTAATTAATTAATTATATTTTTTTTATTATTTCTTTTATATTATACTTTTATCTACTTTTTAATTATATTTTTATTTATTCTTATTATTATTATTATTTATTCTTTTTTTATAATAATAATTATTAATATGTTATTTTTATATATTATTTAATATCACATGTAAATATTATTTTTATTCAAAACTCATGTACATATATTATTTTTCTTATATATTTGTATTAAAATATTTTTTTATCATGCATTAATTAAAAATATTTTATAATTAATATAATAAAAAATACATAACAAACATTAAAATCTTTTTCGCAATAAATTAATCTAAATAACAATTTTTTGCAAAAGGATTTCAAATATATTTTGACTAATCGCGTATTAGTCCATATTTCTGCAATCTTTACACCCGGGCTAAGTACGAGGGAAATCAAAATATCTGCGTAATCTATAAAAAACACCAACGAACCGCGAATTAAGAAATGAGACTTTGATTTCTCATAAGAGGATACGTAGACATACAACTAAAATCGCGGCGAGTTCTCCTATTAAAAATTAAAATCCTATTTCACCCTAAACCTAAACCTAAAATCTAGTATCCTTAAGAATAAGGTAGATGAAAGGTGCCTAACACCTTCCTTTCGTCTAATAGAGTCTGAAACTTAGAATCTTTGTCTTTACAAATTAGGGTTTCCTATTAGATGCTCTTCCTTAAGTTAAAAATTAATAGTGACGACTCTCATTTAAAAACCAATCGCAAAAAATTAATAGTGACGACTCTCATTTAAAAATCAATCGCAACATAGTTAAATTAACAGAAATTAAAGCATATCAAATTTTATTCTAAAAAACACCTCTTTATGAATGGAGACTCACAAAATCTTCTATTTGAGTTACTTTTAACCTCAATATGCATATGCAGTCAATAGCATCTAAAACATCTAAACTAACATTTTTTTCTTTTAAAGTATAAAGTTAAGTAACGACTATTTTACTGATTTTCGCTTAGTAGAGTGATCTAAGAAGGATTATGTTATCTTTGAAGTCAAATTTGAAAAGGCAGATGATTCATTAACTTGGATATTTCTTGACTACATAATAATTAGGTTTCAGTTCTGTACAAAATGGAGAGAATGGATAAGGTGTGTGTATTCTCAAGGAATTTGTCTGTACTGGTCAACTGTAGTCATACTGAAAAAATAGATAAACGTAGGGGCTAAAACAAGGGGACATATCATGGCTCAATTTCTGTTCATTTTGGTTTGAGTGCTTGGGAACAAAGTGAACTTTTATTCTCTTTAGTACGACACAACACAAGTAGAAAATTTTCAATAAAAAGTAATTGTCTTCAGCTCATGACTTGTCTACAATCAAAATGGTTTCTCTTCATTTCTAACAAAAAAGCAGCCAGAAGGACTCCCATCAGGGAACAATGCCAACCTCACAATCGATTCAGCACCTTCATCAGGTGTCAAATAACCTGTATTGTAGTTTATATCTGTTTTCACAAAGCCAGGACAAACAGCATTGATGCATATTGATGAATACTTTCTAGCCAGAATTCTTGTGTAGGCACATAGAGCAACTTTGGAGATAATGTATGTAGACATATTAATAGGCCAACCTTTATTTTCTACTATTGAACCCTCTTTAAAATCCTTTAGAAATTTGTTCATAACTTCATCAATCTTTTCTTCAGTAAGGTTTCCAACATCACTTAGTACTTCCTTAGGCCATCCATTCGGAATTTTCTGCAAACAAAATCAAATGAAAACGAGCCTAATAGATCAAAATAAGCTATCAAATTAGGTAGAGCAAAAGTTATTATCATTGCGTACCTCTAACTTTCCCATGGATGAGGAAACATTGACAATTCTTGGTGAAGTTGAAAGCTGTAGAAGGGGAATAAGCGCTTTGGTTAATTCCTTAGCTCCATAGTAGTTTGTTTTAAAACCTGCTTCAGTTTGTTCATAGCTCTCAGTTATTATTTTACTCCAATCAATCTGGTCACCATTTTCCTGCTACCAAAAACAAGATAACTTTATTTTTTATGAATGAATTGATGAAGATAGACACATATCTTAAGGCGTGACTCAGCTTTTAGAGGAAATGTATTGTACCAAAGCTTTAGCAGCAACCAGGGCCTCACCGTCCACGTTAACTCCAGGAATTCCAGCATTGTTTACCTAAACAAAAGGTGTTTCAAACATTTGTGGTCATTCAAGAAGAACTAGAAACTATGCGTATGTGTTTGATTCTGTAGTGGAAAAATTAATTCTGAGTGTGTATAATTGTTTCGAACTAAAGTTAATAGAAGGTAAAGTGATTTATATTTTGATAAATTCTCACCAAGATATCAAGTTTTCCAAATTGACTCTGGATAAAATCTGCAAATGATGTTATACTTGCAGGATCTGTGACATCAAGTTGATGAAAAATCACAAGGTCAGGTAGATAAAGTTGCTTCAATTTGTCAACAGCTTCAAGACCTCTATTTTCATCTCTTGCTGTAAGCACAACAGTGACCCCTTTAGAAGCCAATTGTTTGCATACTGCAAATCCTATTCCTTTGTTTGCTCCTGTAACAACTGCATACCTATAAACAACATTAACAAGATAGCATTAATTATAATGAAGTTTTTGGTTAATTGCATATTCATAAGGTTTCTTGAAGAAATAAAGGGTAAGGAAAATTGTGGATTACCTTTTTGTTGTTTCTGGTTCTGCCATTGATAGCAAATATGAGTGGACTAAAATAAAGATGGATTTGTTTGTGGTTATGTTTACATCAATTGTTTTTATATAAAATGTTAAAGAGTTCAAGTCAAAGTTGGTGTTCAATTAACAATCTTATCCGTCAAATCAATCCTATATTTATTTTTAATCCAGCTATTTAACAATGACCTGAATTTCACAGATGGAATGGATCTTGCCGTTAGATATCTTTATTTTAATTATTTAATTATATTTACAATAAACTTACTTTTTATTTTATTTTATGTTTGGTTATTTAAAGTGTTGATTTAATTTATATATATTGATAGTGTAAAATTATTTTATATTATTATCTAATAGAAAGTCAATAATATATTTTATTATTAAAAAATTTTAAAATTAAAGTGTGACTTATTCTTATATAAGGTTGTGATTGATTAACAATACATCAACTATTTTCTCTCAAAGTTTAAGTGAGTTGGATCTTAAGAGATATTTTTCAAAGTAATTGTTTTTTCAATAAAATTCTTTAAATAAAAAAAAATTGATAACTAAAGTACTTATATTTCAAACAAAAAGAACTAGTAATACAAATGTCTAACTAATTTAATTGGAGACTCAATTGAAGAAATAAAAGGTCTAATCAATTGAATTGACGACTATATTATCTCTAGTCAATTCAATTGAATTGACGATTATGTATAACTCATATGAATAGCCACCAATTCAATTAGATATTATGTGTTAGATATTTTTTTCCATATAAATAGAAACATATCTTCTACTATTTATTTCACACTTCTTCTCATTTTCTTTTTAATCTTTTATTTACTTGTACTAACATGGTTAGTAAAAGAAATAGACATGTTTGTTTTTCGAGAACCAAGTCTCTGATGAAGATGTGTTTTTGGAATACTCGAAGTTTCGAGCAATTTGAAATTTCGGTTAGACAAAGAAATTAATGATGGTGAAAAAATAAGAAGTATCGGAAAAAAATCGTATATCTCTATTAATAATATGGATGAAAATGATTATATCCAACATATGTGTGTCATCTAGAAATGACAGTGATGTTAGGAATATGATGTCTGCACCAAATGATATTGTTTTGATTGTTGTAGTCTTTTGGATATATTATGGTGTTAAGTTTTTTTATTCGTTATTTGTGTTGTTGTTTTAGACGTGATTATATTCGTGTGTTATTGTTTTAGGGGTGTTTATGTTCGTTTTGATGTAACCAAAAATCGTTTTATATATATAATTTCAAGGTTAAATTTTTTTAATATAATAAATTATCATGGATAGCTTGTTCCGGAATGACGACATATACCCCACAATCTTACCATTTTGTTATTCGTATCTATTTCGGTTCTATTATGTGTGTTGTTGGGACTATCCTTTTTCTTCCTTCTCATATTTTTGTTGCGCCAAATAACACTCCCTTGATATGTAGGCCAATATTTCTCTTTTGCTACCACTAGGAAATATTGTTGTATACACTGAATACGTTTACGAATTTGTAAACAGAGTATAGATGCTTGAAAGCGTCCTGGCGAACACTTGAACATGTCGCAATGACATGGGAGAAAGGAATACAAAAAGATTGAAATTTTTTGCAGTCGCATCAGCTTCAATGTAATTTGAACCAATAATATCTCTTAGGCATCTCCTCATTGTGGTCCATTGTCTCCTTTATGCTGAAAGTGTGTCTATGACGGCTAAAGCATGTAACAACATATGTACTAGCTTTGATAGTTTACTCGTTCATCATTTTCATGCAAATTTCATTGAACAATTTCTCTGATTGTAACACTGAACTCTATTTTTCACCTCTCAATATGAACAATGATCCCAACCTAAAATATATTTCTCTCACCAACGCGGATATTGGTAGGTTTGAAGACGAAAGTTTATTGATTCCACAAGATTTGTTGTCATGTGGCCTCATCATCGACCCTCGTCAAATGTGTAACGCCCGATAATTTAATTAATTATTTAATTAAATTATTTTCGAATTATTTGTTGAAATGTGTGAGATGTTTCTATATGTTTTAAAGTTGTTATTTGGTTGATTATTTTAGTTGATTAATATTAACAATAATATTAGAACAATATAAGATTAAGTTGTTGGACTTAGTTATATGATGGTACGTAGCAAGGTGGGGATGTGTAAGTTAGGTCCAATATGATTAATAAAATAAGGTTAAGTTGATATAAGAATTAGGTTAATTAGAAAAATAAGGAAGTATTGGTGTGCTGATCGTAGAAGTTGCAAATAAGAGGGAAAATAGGCAAATCTAGATTTTCAATCGGAGAGTTATAGAGCGACCTTCAATCCAAGTTAAGGGTGGGGTTCTAACTCTATAATAGGAATCATGATGAATATTATGTAGGGATTGGTTGTGTGAATAATTGCTATCGTGTGTGAAATTATTGTTGTTTCTAAATTTCATGTTAGCACTGTCATAATTTCTGATAATGTTACAGTAATTCCATCGATGAATGAAAGGTTGGAAATTAACCCATGGTTGGTGTAGTTGTTATGTTGTTGTGTTAATCAATTTTGTTTTGGTCTGAGATTTGTAATCGATAGAAAATTTGGAAAATTATGTGTTAGTATCAGTAACAGGATGAAGTATGTGAGGGGCTGGAAGGCACATTGTACCGAGGGGCACAGGTACTTGTGTCGAGCAGCACAAGGCTGCAAGGTGTGCTGAGGGGAATGGTGTGTGTCGACCGGCATAGAGGAATAAGGGGAGGTGTTGAGCGACATGGTCATTGTGCCGAGGGGCACATGTCTTTATTAATTCTTTTCTTTTGTTCCTGTGCATGTTGAGGGGTACATACTTCTTTCTTATTCCTTAACGCTCCTGTGCATGCTAATTGGTTAATTATTTTAGTTTAACATTCTCAGTATAACAATTAGAGTCCTTAAGACAATCTATCCCAAAATGATTAATGGACTACTAGTAAATATAAGTTAGTAGCAGGAGAGATAATAAAATTAATGATTAGCAAAAAATTATTAATAAGGTTATCAGTAAAAGTAATTTAGTAGAACTTTCAGTAGCAGTATTAGTAATAAATTAAGAGGAGAGCAAATTAGTAGCTAGTAACAAAGATGAAATAATTAATAAGTGACTAGCAGTAAACCGTATGGAATTGGAGATAGTAGTACAAAACCAAAAACATTAGTATTTTTGCAGAAAACTATTTAGTCGGATATAGTCGAATTGCCCGAATAATTACACAAGACATCGTAGTATATTTTGGTTAATACGTTGTATTGTATACTTTGTTATAATTTGAGAATTGGAAGGTGATGATGAATTTTGTTGAGATGCCTCTAATCATTTGTAGATAATAAGTTATAGGCTTATGACCAATGTCGAATTGTGTTGAGTTATTGTTGAATTATTGTTGTTGTTGTTACTACATTCATATTGTTGTCACATACATAACATATCAAGGTGGGAGCTCATGAATGGTAAGTTGGCCTGGATTGGCAAATATAAAGTTGAAGGCTTATGCCTTGTTGATGCCTCTATTAATTGACAGATTATTAGGTTGGGAGTTTTGCTCCGTTGGTACCACATGCATGTGCATAAAAACAAGTCACATTTCATGTTGCATCCTGAGTTGTTGTGTGGATGAATTGATTATGTTAAATATTGTTAAAGAGCTGCGAAGTGGTGATTTTGTATGAACTGATTCTAATATATTATTTATCATGCATTCTATTATATTGTTCAATATCTCACCCCTTCTGTTTGAATGTTACCCCTATGTTGGTAACGTGCAGGTAATTCGGTGTAAAGGTTGTTTACCTTCATTATTTCGAGTCGGTGTCGTTGCTCTGATATGTAACACTCGGGGGGATGAACACTTGTTACTTTATTGTTATTTTTACTTCCGTTGCTGAATTTTTATTTGATTTACTAAGTACTTTGTTGTTTCTAAAGTTATTTCGGTCGAACAAAGCTGTTATGACATTGAGTTTAAATTGTGATTTCGCTGCTTAATTATAAAAGTTGTTTTTATTTTAAAGACTAAATTATATGGTTAACAATTCATCCGAGTCTAAGTATTATTTATTTGTTTTACATGCGATTAAATAAAGTTGTTTTTAAGTAGTAAGTGTAGCATCCTATTTATATGTTGCAATTTTATAGCTCTGATTTTAATATTATTTACCGTGTAGAAATGGGGTGTTACATTAGTGGTATCAGAGCAGGTTGGTCCGTCCAACCAAGCTGTTGAGTCAGTAGAGTAGTGTGACAGTTGAATACTGTCGATATGTTGTTTCTTAGTACGTGACATATGTGCGACACACTGTCGATACTTGTTTGCTTTTCCAATCGATTGTATGCAGGAGTTGGTTTGAAGATAAGTGGGGGAGAAGCTTTGCTTCTCGGATATGTTTTGGTTGTAAGATGTTAGTTCAGTATGCTGTTGATGGCAACAGTGCAAGTATTGTTGAATTTTTGTTGTTTTCCGAATCCGAAGGTGACATGGATTCGAGATTTTGTTTGTTAATCAAGTTGGAGAGTCTTGAGGGAGGATGATAAAACATTATTGATGTTTACTTCTCGAAGGATAAGGAGAAATGTAACGGTTGTTGATATACGAGTAGAGCGTAAATCCCTGATGTTTATGAAGGTGATTGTTAAGTAACAAGGATAATTTTTAGAAGATGGAATTTAGAAAGTTGCGATGTTTCAGCGTTGCTGGTGAACTATGAAGTTGTCGGTTTGGGTAGCCCTTGCGTAAGATGTCGACATTTGAACGATGATAGAGTGATATGTTATTATAGACCTTGTCATGGGATCCTTGTGAGTGATTGTAAAAGTTGTTGAAGTTGTTGGAATGTTTTGAATCACAAGTCGGAGTCGGAAATGTAAGGAGATGAGTACGATTTCAAGAATGGTAAGTGTTGGAACTGGTACAAAGAAATTTTGTTCTGATGTTATAGTAAGGTGTGTAATAGTATGTAACTGCATGACATCGGTGTTCTT